TTTTTATTAATAGAACAATATTTATATAATAAGAATTATTTAGAATGAACTTAATTAGATAGTAGAACATTAGACTATAAATAATAGGGAATCTTTTAATACAATTACTTTATTATAAATAGTTTATTTTAATAAAAAAGAATATAAGGATATTCTACTTAATGAAGAAAATCTAGCTAAAATTCTATCTCAACTATTATTATATTTATATGATTTTGTTTATAATTATTATAAGCCGGTTTATTTATACAAAGTTTCAAAAGTAAATGTTTCTAAATTTTTAACTAGAAAATCTGAATTTAATAATATAGAGATTTAATAAAAACTTCCTCTCTGATTATAAAATAAGTTACCTGTATTCCTTTCATATTATATAAACATTTTTCTATTATATCAAGTATAAAATTATAAAATTAAATTGATATCTGAAAAGAAGTTATTATATTTTAAAAACCACTTATTATTATTATTAAAGCTTGAAATTATATATAAGTAGATTGATAACAACCTTAATAAAGACTTCATTTAGAAATTAAAATTACATAGTATTATACCCTTGCTTTTAGCTGTTAAGTTAAAGAACGGCATATACATATATTAAAATTATTAAGGATTAAATAATATTATAATAAAGAATTATTATTCACTTCCTATTGTTTACAAAACTCTGGGTACTCTTTATAATACTACAGTATATATAAAACTAAATATTATTATTACTTTCAATAAACTTTGTATTATAAAAGGTAATGAATGAAAAACAGTTTTTATTATTCATTTTAATCTTTTTAAGTTATTTATTATACTCTTTAGTCTTTACAATATACTAGTATTTTTTCAATATTATATCAATTATACTCTATTTAATAAGCTAAATAAATATTATATAGTATATTTCAACAATGTTTTTATATACTTAATAAAGAAATTAAAGTATAAAAAGCATATTCGAATTATAATACAAAAGTTGATAGATATTGAGCTATAGATTAATATAAACAAATACAAATCAAGATTGTTTTTACTTACTATTTAAAATTAATAATTACAATTAAAAGTATATAGATAAACCCTAAAAAAATTATTATAATTATATCCTGAGAATAGCTACTTTTAATAAAAGATTTATAATATTTTTTAAAGTTTATTAATTTTTATTAATAATTTATAAAAAACTTTTCAAAGATTTACTAGCCTCTTTATGATTTATTATAAAAGGATATTAACTAATTTTGAAATGTATTATATAGAAATGTTTTCACTATGCTTAAGAATATATTTATAATAGTATCAATTTTTATATATTTTGATTATAACAAACAAACAATTCTAAAAACAAATGGTTTGAATTAAGCATTGAAGAGAGTACTTTCTCAATACAATTCTAATAATCTTTTATAATTAATAGCTTATTTTTCAACGAAGTATTTTGTAATAAAATGTAATTATAAGATTTATAATAAAAAGCTTCTTACAATCATTAAGTCTATTAAAAAGTAATAATTAAAGCTTCAAGGTTTGTAATAGGAATTTAAAATTCTTATTAATTATAAAAACTTAGAGTACTTTATTATAATAAAGGCTTTAAATCAACAATAAGTCTGCTAATTTGAGTTCCTTTTTTATTATAACTTTTATATAGTTTATTAACCAGAATCTAAAGCTATTCAACTAAATATTTTAAATCAAAAGAAAAAGAATAGATTAAACTTTATAATTAAAGATAATAAATATTTAAAGAATAAAGAGTATATAGTTTTATTAGTAAATAAATTCGATATTAATCTTTATAATGAACTAAAAGCTGATATTTATTTAATATTAATAAACCTTATAGTATTTATAGAGAATAAATTAATTAATGAATTAATTAATAACATTTATAAAAGATTAAATATGACTTATTAACTTATTATAGTAATCAAAAATCAGCACATACATAAATAACTAATAGAATTCAGGAAAACACTTCGAATTGTTATATAAAACTACTATATAGCAAATAATAGAATATATTATTGAAAGAGATTATAGATTCTATTAGATAATAAATTAAAAGTATAAATTATCTATAAGATATATTTATCTAACCTAATTAAGCATCCAGGTTGAACTAAAACAATCGACCTTGTCTTTTATATATATTGATGATTATAAATGCATTAGGAGATTGCTTTATATATATAAATATACAACCTTTATATATATAAAATCATTAAGGTCAACCCCACCCGAATTTTTACATCTATTATTAATCCCCTTTCAAATCTGATCTAATATATTAATAAATTATATTATATTACTTCTAAATTATATTTATTACAATTTCATATACAAATATATTCTAATTATTATTTATTGATTAACTAAAATGAGATATTTAATAAGGATTAGAACACTTATAATAAAAAAGCTTATTGATATCTTTATTAGTTATATCTATACCTTATATAATCTATTAGATAATATTATCTTTAATTATAGTATATAATTCGTATTCGATTTCTAGTCTCAATTAGCTAAATAACTAATTATAACATTTTAATATTTCTTAATATTTCATTTATAAACAGATGAATAAATAGAACAAATTATTTTTATTTTTAAATAATTTTTATAAATTTTTATTAGAATAATTAAATATAATAATTACCTTTTACTAAATTCATATTAAATAATATAACTTTAAAGATCACCAGCTGTTTGTTACGAAAGCTGCCTCTAGAGTCATGTGGAAGTATCTAGAGATCTCTTAAAGTAATTTAAATTAAACTTCAAATAGGAATTCAATAAGGTTATAATTGATTACAATTCTTGTAACTATAATAATAAAACTAATGATTGTTCTTAAGTATAAAGCTTTGTATTATAATAAAACCTATTCTCTTTATATAAACCTTTCTACTTTATAGAATCTATAGTTCTGTTCTACTTAGATCCCTTGAATCCTAAACTCCAAAAACTCCTGACTCTTTGAATCCTAAGCTTCAAAGGCTCCAACGTCCTATCACATAATACTTATCACATAATCCAATGTTACCCGTCGTAACACTATTTATTATTCTTTATTAATTATAGGTTTAATTCATATATTGATATAAAGTCTAGTAAACCTTGCCTGTTAGATATAACTATAGTATAAAAATAAGAGTTTTTTAAGGGTAATAAGATAATGAATAGAATAAAAAGGATTCTATTATAATTACAAGCTCTTACTAGATAAGCAATTATAATATATAAAGAAAATACAAATCGACATTATATTAACTTACTATATTATTATATAAGCTAAAAGGTATTTATAAATATTAAGAATATAAAAACCTTTTGAAAAATAAAGAAATTGAATGATTAATAAATAGGGCTATATAAAATTATAAAAGTTTATCCTCGTTTTTATCTTATTTAATTATCAGATAATATTCAAATATTTCTTATTTTTTATTGTTTATTACTTACTCCTATAATCAATAGAATACATTTTCTAATATAGATTATAATTAACAAATCAAAGTCAATTATTATTAGAAATAGGATTCTCAAAAAAAAGGATAGCGAAAATAAGCTAGTATAGAAATGAATCTTTAAAGAAATTATAAATAATCATAATAAAAATGATTATTATTATTTAATCAAATAAAAACATTATACTTTTATTTAACAATCAGTAATAAATTAAAAAAAAAAGATTGTTGACGAAGTATTACCATATATATTCTAAAAAGCTTGGCCCATCAAGATAAATATTAAATGATTTTAAAGCTAAGGCAATCAATCTTATTACTTATATTAAAACACTTAAAAAAGGTATAGGGAACTTAAAGATCAATTCGCGAAAGAAAAGTTAGATTAATATAAAATATCTAAACTATTAATTTAATAAATTCGGTTATTCATTTAATTTATATATAATAATAAACTATACAGTGGATTTAGCTTATTTGGGATAAGTAAGCCCTTAAGGGGGGGTATTATTACGGGTCCAATACATAGTTATATAAATGTTTAAAACATTTACCCTCTATATAGTCAACATTTCTTCACCTTTTTCTTCACTTTTTATAAAATATTATATATCTTATCTAGTATCTATCTCTTGTACTATGATGATTTTAAAGAAATTTTAAAGTAATTTTAAATAAAAAAATTGAATTTGATTGAAAAAGAACAAAAAGTTCTATTTAATTGTTTTTAATATTTTTATTACTTTTTAACTTTATTTATCAAATTATTATTAATTATAATTTTTTTTTAAATTAAGTTTTAAATTATCTTTTCAGTTATTTAATATATATTATATAAAGTTATTCTTTCTTTTTATTATATATAACAATCTTATATTTATATAAATAAATATTAATTTATTTATTATATTAATTAAAGATATAAATTAAAATAATATTATAGAAAAAATATAAAAGAAGATTAAAATTGAGATTTTGAAAGAAATTCTATATATATTTAATAATAATAAACTTTTTATTAGATAAATAAATAAATTTTTATTCTTACTAATTAAACCTCTTTTGAAGTTTTATATATAATAATCTTTTTAAATATTTATTTAAAAATATATCGAATTGAATCTACTTTTATTTATTTATTAGATTTATAAATTAATGAAATACCTTATAAATATATAAATATTGTATATTATAATCTTAATATAATAATTTATATCGTTTAAAAACGATTATATTGTAAGATTATATAAATATCCTTCAAATTATATAATTTACTTAACCCTAAGGAATACTCTACAGGCAAGATATAAGAGCAGAGTGAATTTATTATTGACCAGGTGTGAGCTTAGAATAAATCTTCATGACTGACCACTTAAGATTCGAGTTAAAATGGAAGCAATTGGCTATACACACTCAATCATTTAAAAACGTTCCTATATGTATTTATTACACGTGACATTATGGATAACCTTTCAAACAAATCGTGGGGTTGAAGCTTCATGTGATGATGCATCACCATTCACAAGCTTATATCCATCTTTGCAATATAACATCGACATCCATATCAGCAACCACGTTCCTTACACTAAGTCATAAATTTTCGACGTCTAGTTTACCCATACATCGAAATCCATAATCAAACACATCAAATCAAAGTCGCACAATAATATACAATTCTATTCAATTCAATCTTTGAAATATCAAGCAGTTTGAATATCAACCCTCAACAATGTCCTCCTCGCCATCTCCATATCCCACTTCAAACTACACCCCCCATCGTAACTCTCAATCCTACTCTGGTATAGATCCGAGTGCACCACCACCACCGCCTAAACCGAATTCCCGAGATGTGAGTCGTCAAGGTACACCTGCGGGAACTGGAAATCAGTCATTTCCTAGACCTGGAGAATCATCAGTGCAATACGAAGGAAGACAAGAAAATGTTCCACGAGAACAACCACAACAAATACAAGATCCGGGAGATCAATGGCTTCCGAAAATATTGATGGATAAATCGTATGTATTACCTTAGCATATGCAGTCGAACATTTTCTTCTGCAGGTGTTTCTTATCCTACCTATCCTACCTATCATGACACTCATAAATGTCTCTATTGATCTTATGTATCCTCTCTTTGGCGTACAACAGGACTATTGAGAGTTTGGCAAAATGAGGATAGCAACATCGTATTATTCGGTGAACAATGTTAACATCATTCAGGAAACAAGACCTCGCATCCGCATTATCCAACCCTGCCCTTCTAGCCGCCCTCACACATTCAACATCTACCGCACACCCATCCATTTCCACATCACAAGAACCATTAAAATCTGCATTGGATGATAATATCGCACTAGCAACCCATCTCTTGGAACTTGAGTCTCGACTCGATCACCTGCGCTCCTCAACACAAGCTCAATTATTATCTACACATGCATTGGAACGTCAATGGAAACAAAAACAATCCGAGATGGATAGAACCTTAGCTCCCTTCTCACCGAGCTCATTGTATCAAAGATTAGGACAAGGTGCTCAGGAACAAGAAATGATATGTAGGGCAATGGAAGAAAGTTTTCTGGAGGGTGATGGAGTTGCTACGGAAAGGGAAGCTAGTGATTGGGTTAGAAAATATAGGGAATCGAAGAAAGTTTATTATTCTAGGAGGGAAAGGAAAGATAGGTGGGATGAAGGAAGGGTTGGAGGTTGGAGATGATATGGAGGTTCTCAAAATATCAGTCCTTTGGAACCTTGAGCGACGATCACTTACTTACCACTTGCGACGAGAAGCCCATCTGGATATACAACACGGCCATAGCAGTCATGTCAGGAAAACTTTGAGGTACTATATTGCAGGATACAGACTGTCAGTAGCAAAATAATTCAAAAACTTAGCACAGCGTCAGTGATGAAAGGCATCGAGACGTCGGGTGTAGTATACGAGGCTGATGATGAAAGGACAGTATATTTCCCGATGAGAGACTACGGATGTCAAAACGAGGAACACGAGACGACAAATGAATACCGGCATACAAGAACGTCATGGTTTGGCAACGTTTATGTACATATTCTCGGTTGGCTCCCACGAATTTTTACAGGTGACGAATTATGAAGCATAGTTTGTGCCACGCCTCGATTGAAGGCGATCGAGAAAAAGTATAATATATCGATACATTGTCCACAGAATAGGAGTCGTGGGGCCGTGGAGATTTAGAGATGTACGTGGAGAGATGGAGGGGAATGGGGAAATGGACTTACCCGGTCCTGGATGAAAGACATTGATTAATCCAATAACGCAATATCGGCAATCATCCACACTTCCCCGGCTCCTAAAGAATCAAGATTTATCACCTCTAGTTTTGTACGACTGATTGGAGAACTTGAAAAGAGCCAAGGAAATGCGAATGTTGGTAAAGGTCCGAATAGATGGGGTGTATAGCCAATCAAAGACAAGCAATGCAACTACCGGGAGAGGGGAAAGATTGGTGAGATGGTATCTGGTGTTACATGTTTGGGATAAAGATAGATGCGGCGAAACTCTTATCTCTCGAAAGTAGCTTGTGGTATGATTTGTGGTATGAAAAGTAGCAAAGACGCAGTACGAGGGTAGATTATGCAGTGTAAACGTGTGAATCGGACGGGTGTTTCCGTTCACACTAGAGATTTTGCCTGAATGCTTAGTGGGTGGTCGGTTTCTTTCTTCAAAGATTTGCCAAAGTGGTTATGGTGTTACGTCTTTTGGGGAGGGGGAGGGGGCTCATGCAGTTGGGGTTGCTTTGGTTGGGGAACCACAACAGTAGATAGATTAGATTACTTCTTGGAGATCCCGAGGTACTGTAACGTTAGTTATAGTTAACTGTTGTAAGCACGCGATTAATAGAGGTGTTTGGTGCTTGAGGAAACTGGGCTTTGGCGAGTTGACTTGACTCGGTGGCATGGGGTGATGTGTTGTGATGTGCTGTATGCTGTATCCTGAGTTGAATAGATGGATAGATATATGAATACGAGATTGGAGCGGTTGGTCATTTGTTAGGTTTCGGGGCCGCACCGGATGAGATGGGAGGGGAGGAGATGATTTGCACTGATTGATTGATTGATCACGGACGGCGTGTTGTTGATATGTTGATACGAGGTGGAGGTGGAGGGTTGTTTTTGTTTACAATGGTCTATGCAATGCAATGTGCGTGGTGGATTTGAGGGTATGTGTTTGTGTTTGTGTTTTTATTTATATGTATCTATGTATCTATGTATCTATGTATCTATGTATCTATGTATCTATGTATCTATGTATCTATGTATCTATGTATCCATATATCCATATAGATACGTAGACATAGTCCAAATCACGCAATTAGAATAGGTGGTCTATCAGTGTGTTATTCTTTGATTTACGTGTCACGAGAGGGTGGAATATTTTTCTTTTCTGCTTGGTGAAATGAAATACATGTCTAGACTCTGGAGGATGGAAGGGGAAGTGGAAGTTTGGTATGTGGTGTAGTTGCTAGGAATGGTGTTTGGTAACATGTATTGATGTGTTGATGTATTGATATTTTTATGTGTTTGTTGATATCATGGGTTTGGAACTGGATTGATTGGAATTGAATTGATAGTTGGAAGAGGATGGAGTGATAGCTTCTGATTGTATTGTATTTTATTGTATGCTGGGATGGAGAAGGGAGATGGAAGAAAAGAAGGAGGGGCGGGGAGAAGGAGGAAGAAAGATGATGAAAGATGATGAAAGATGAAGGAAGATGGAAAGAAAGAATACAACATTGTATTTACTTTCATCTGACTATCCAGAAATTAGAAGATGGAAAGAAGATAAAAGTTTAATTGATGGGGAGCGAATGGATAGTATGTGATATGGTATAGCATAGTACTGAAGCTCAAGAATATTGTGCGGCGTTATTCTTCTTTCTTGCTTGTTAGTGACGAGATGAGATGAGCTGAGATGATGAATTTTCTACTCTATCTTATCTGATATGTTCTTCTCTATTTATTAGGTATTCAATTCAAGACTGCGTAGCTCGTTCAGTAGCTTGGGTTATGTTCTTTTCCCAATAGCTTTGCTGTGAAAAATTGAAGTCTAAATAAATTAAATCTCCAGTCTCCAGCACCTTTTGGGGGGTTTCCCGTTCACCTCCTGTCTGATTTCCGATTTTCCATGTTTTTTACATCCTGTTCTTATTCGATCTTTTCTCCTTTGAAGGTTGCACTACCTGATTCCCTCCTGAGTGCAGATTTGAAAGTACAGGGTATGGAGTTGTATGTTGAACATCATTTCATCTCCGCATCTGGGCCTGTGAGGTCACTTCTCTATCTACACTTCTGCTCATTGATATTGAGAAATTGAGCGAATTAGAGAGGAGAAGGTTGATGGCTTGGATGATGAATGGACAATGCGGAGATAGGGATGTAGATATTGGTTGAGTGTGAGTGTGAGTGTAAGGAGATAGTAAAGAGAGTAATAGGAGGATTAGAGAGCTAGTGGTGACGTTTAGGGTTGTGATGTGAAGGAGTTAGAGCTAGAGTGGGATGATAATGACTAGTTAAATGGATGAGATCAGAATCCATGAGGATAAAGTATGCTTAATCAGAATTAGAGTAATGAATGGGAAGGTGATTCGGAAGGTGATTCGAGAAGGAGGAAGAGGTTCAGTGAGTGGTGAGGGGGATTCTTCATGCTCTTCTCCAACGCAACATGTGAGTCTCAGCGGCGGATGGTGAATCCTCACAGGAATTACAGGTGGAATGTAGAAAGGTAAGAGTAGATGAACTAGTTAGATTTCGGACCAGAAACGAAAGATCGAACCTCAGCAGTGGGCGGAATTCCGAATTGATATGAAGGGACAGACACGATATCTGATTTCATTTCAATTTCTATCTAGAAATTTGGGACAATCATGCAAGAAGAGTGTTTGCGTCATTGCTCAGAATTGAGAGCGAAGTTTTACATAAGTGATGAGCGATGCTCATTTACATACTTGTTGGGTCGATTGCTTCAATTCAATGGCATAAGGAAACGAAGGGGTAGGCTAAGGGGAAACAGGAGGAAAGCTTATAAGATGCACATGGGGAAAAATCGAGATGGACTTAATATAACTTTCAAAAGGATCAGAATGAAGTACTTGGTAGATAGGACAAGTAATGAAAGAAGCGGAAATGGAAAGCCAGAAGGAAAGGGATGCTGAGAACATGAGAGAAAAAAAAAATTCCAGGGGAAAATATTATAAGCGAAAATATTATATCGAAGGCAAGAGAATTGAATCAAATATTTATCTCTCTCAATTCTATGACTTCGGGATCTGTGAAGTAATATTACAAGACTCTGGAGCTTCCCAATGTAAAGATAGCCATTGGTTTTTTTTAATGGTATTGCAATGGTATTTAATATCTCGTCTCTCTTGCTCAGACTTATGTATTGGGTTCTCCTAGTTCCGTTGCCTTGCTTAAAATACTTTCGTTTTTCAATGGATTAATGCAACCGCTCAAATAATTAAATGCTCAAACTGAGTGTAGGATCTATCCAGTCCAAGGATTCAACCCTTGAACCTTCAGAGCCCAGTTTTCCAGATCTTAAATTCTAAAAAAAAGAGACACCCTCTCTTCCTTCTCCATCCTCCCCTTTCCGCATACGCCCCCAAGATTTCCTCTCCCCCATACCCTAGCCCAAAAAAGTAGAAGCCCAATCAAGGATTCGAACCTTGGATCTCATCATTTTTGTATTCATGGATACGCTATCATTCATTCATTAGCTCATTATTCAATCCATATCTTTCAGTAAGAGTTGTACTTACAGTGATGCGCGTTAACCACTACGCTAAACGGGCGGTTTGTTTTTATAGGCAGGGGTGGGTTTTTGGGTATGTATATGGGAGTTATGGGAATTTGGGGGGTGAATAGAGGGGTGAGGTTGGTTGTTGGGGAGGAGTGGGGAAGTGAATGCAGAGAGGGGAGTGTTGAGTCAAGATGTTATTAGTGGGGGTCCTTCGTTCTTTCTCCATCGGTAAATTCTGGCGATGTGCTGGTGATAGTGCATGTAGCTTCTATTTCTTCTATCCTGAAGCCATCCTTTTACGAAAAGAGCCCGTATTACTTAAAAACCTCCTTGCTTGCACCATCAGATGGATCGTATCAAGTCTCCATTGAGAAGCTCGGGAATCTTTAAAAGAAACTTTGAAGTGACGTAAAAGTGAATCGAAATTTGTGAAAGCTCGAGACAACAAACAGGTACCAAATGCTAATCCCGTTATCTCAACAACATTCCGCTGAATCATGAGCCTGAACTCTCAATTAGAAAAACCAATCCAAGACAAACCTGAAACCTAAAGAACTCAAGATATGAAAACGTCTAGCAATACAAACATTCTCAACATGTCTCATAACCTCAATAACTCCATCTCACATCCTTTAACCCATATTCAATGCCCTATCTCATGATACCTTCCTCGCTCATCCCACATCCTTCTCGAGTCTAAAGACTGGACCTAAAATTACCACTACCCCCAGCATTCCCCCGAGTAGAATTAGTACCAGGTGAATCCAGCGAATATTCTTCAATCATTTTCTCGGCTGCCGTTTCACCTACTAGGTATGCTGTTGATTGTGTATGATTACTAGTTTTTACATTTGCGTTAGCCCCATCTCACTCCTTTCAACTGATATTATTCCCTTTCCTTCGCATCCTCGCATCTGTTTCTACTACGTCCAAACGATCAAAGAAAGAAGATGAGAGAGGAGGTAACCAAATCGTCAATGAATCAATCCATCTCCAGCACTAAACTCCACCATCTCGGACGCTCGTCTCGGAAGGAGTCAAAGAAAGAGGGAATATGACAACCTCGAACAAATCACTAGTTCAAAGGGGAGAATGAGACTTACTTGGGCAACAATGGAATTACACTCAAATCTACCACTCTCAAACCTTCCACGCCCAATACCCTGAAGTTCGTATCTACACATGCTGTATTCTCATCTTTATCTTTACCCATGCGGACTGTACTGCACATGTGCCAACTACTGAAGAGATTTTTCCGGCAGTGTTCCTATGGATTTTCATTAGTCTTTGTTATTTGTAGGAGATGCAATATACAGGATAAACATATAAAGACATGAGAATGCAAACTAACCCAAATACTCTCATCACTCGCCCCAACACCACCCTCAGGAACCCCAATCATTTTCACAGTCTTCTCCCTAAAAACAGGCGTGTCTAAAAACTCCATCGTCTTCCTTACTGCTTCAATAAGAACTCGGCGATCATAGGGATGGTTAACTAGATTCGCATCAATCTTCGGTGGTACAGAGGGGTCGGCAGAAGAAAGTGTGATGCTGCCTGCTGCTTGAGGGTTCATGACGAAGGAGAGACACGTCAGGTAGCAATCTGTTGGGGAGAGGACGTGAGTGCCCGTGAAAAGGGGAGGTGTGTGCTAGAGGGCGAATGTTAGTTCAAGGCTTAGGAGAAGCGGAATGAAAAAGCCTCCACGTTGGTGACCGGCGGAGCGGCGACAAAAACCAAAATGAACACATACCGTAGCAATTTCGAAAGCAGGAACATTCTTCTGTCTCAAAAAAGCCTTTTTATCCTCCGATAGATCATTAAATTCTTTTGATTCCAAAACCTTTTCATTCTTGAACCATCCCATCGGAACACCGCAATAAAGTTCGGCCAATTTTCCACTTTTATCTTTAATCCAACCTTCTTTTGCAGTTTTTTTCATCTCTTCATTCATTTCGAATTCCATGCGATCATTTGATCCTTCTTTCAGTAGCAGAGTGGTGGTAGAAAAGGAATGATCTTGAAGATTCTTTCCTACTTGTGGAAGATCTTTGATGATTGGTATATTGTGTCTTTCAAGTTCGGAAGCAGGACCAATTCCCGAAAGGAGGAGAAGTTGAGGACTATTCAATGCACCGGCTGATAAGATGACATCTTTGCGAGAATAGTATTCTCGACCATCAATTGTTCTAATACCTATCGTTTTCTTTCCATCAAATAGGACTTTCGCGACGGGGGCGTTGAGGATAGTTTCGAATCTCGGACCCATTAATGGTAAATAAGACGAAGCGGTTGTTCTCAATCCATTGTGCATAGAAGAGGAGCCCATACCCATTCCAATCGGATTCCCAGAATTTATATCAGTATTCAACGGCAATCCAGCTTGTTTAGCTGCTATAAAGACATCCGTTAAACCCTTCTCCCAAACCGAAGCGTAAGAAAGATGAAGTGGCCCCTCAGTTCCATGATCTTCTGGGTTTGGATTCACAAACTCGCGATATTGGTCTGGAATTTCATCATGGTAGTGTTCGATTTTTTTGAGACGTTCTTTAACATGCGTCCATGACCATGCATCATCATCGACCTTTTCAGCCCAGGCGTTGAAGTCCTCCGCTCCCCCGACCACCCAAGCGGAAAAATTAAGAGCCGTACTGCCACCAATTCCTTTTCCTCGGGAATAATCTATTTGTTGACCTCCTAGATGAGAACAGGGCTCTGTCTTGTATCCCCAATTCAAGGAGGGCTGAGTAGCAAATAAGGTAAAGCGATCAGCGGGAACGAGATATTCTTGATCATTGTTGGGACCTCCGGCTTCAACGAGGAGGACAGATGGATGAGAAGGAGCCGATGAGAGGCGTGCTGCGAGGGACATTCCGGCTGGCCCAGCTCCTACGATTATAAAATCGAAATTGTTGTGTGGTGTAGCTGTCATTTTGAAGTATTGTTCGTTGAATCGAGATATATGTTTTCTAGGTAGAATATGAGAAGGTCTATAAGTCAAATGGTTGGAAATTGAGAAGCATCTACTTACGATTGATATTAAGTCTAAAGGACAAAAAACCTGCAGATTTTGTTAATCATCAATATTACAAAATATGCGACGCAATCGATACCTGAATTAGAAATATCAATCCACAGAGCAACATAAACGCAAGGGGCTTACTGATCACTTACCGATTATGTGTATGCTTTTATCGGCGTACTGATGTGTAACTTTATGTTAGTATCAACGAAAGTCGATCCTTACAATCTGTGTAAGAAGGGAACACTCTTGCTCTTGATATTCAGGTGAAATTCGAATATCAAACACTTGCAACAAATACCCCGGATAATCAAGGCATGGTGTAGTTTATAGAGCATCTACTAATATGCAAGGATATCTGAGCGCAAGTTCCCCTCCCCAGATCACGGGATTGACCCGTTAGCCCGCTTGGCTTCTCCTCTTCTCAATGAATGGGTCATGGATTGATAGTGGGTTAAAATATGATGGGGTAGCTCGAGAGTAATACACTAAATCAAACAATTGTAACATTAGCGTCGTCTTAGTTTTGTCGGGAAAGAGTTCGGTATATTTTTGGAATAGCAGATAGGCAAAAGGCCGGCTTTTTCGGGGAGCTAAGCCCAAGCAGATCCAATGAAATTCGATTCATCAGTCACTTGATATATATGAGTGTTAATTGCGGGGTAAATAAGGGGCTGAGAATTGGTAGTGGAGATTATCAAGTCGAAGCTTAATTAAATCATGGTCCGGTAGTTTATGCGGGATACAATCATGTGTATTATGGTACTGTCGTTTCGCTGTTTCCACACATTCCGATATTGAACATGGTTGACGACTACTGGCCCTTTGTTTCTCCCAGCAAAAGCCAACCTTCGAATCCGATGATAAGATTCTCGATAAATCCTCACATGACACATTAATCTAAAGCGCGCATTGTATGATATCCATGTCTTGTAGTTGTGCCAGACACTGGGGATTTCTCAATTACCACCGAATATCTTTGTAGCGTTGTATAGGTAGTGCCTACACAAAGCTCCTGTTGTAGGATGATTCGTGGACTTGGCATTCCACTGAACAAGTAGAAGTACGTAACACCATGGTGAAGTTCTCTCGGGTTGCTCTATTTCGGCCATCAATGTACAGACTTTGCTTGGACATCTTGACATACCTCACAAATTATTGGAGATCTGGTAAGAGAGAGTCGTATATGTCCGCCATCGTCTTCGTGCAAAATTGTAATCTCGTATGATATACCACCTAAACCCAAGGAACGGATCTTTCACCCACTAAGACATAGTGAAATATGCCTTCTTCACAAGTCGTTTTGGAGAACGGGGAGATGCAGAAACCCCAGATCGGGCCTATATTCACCTAGGATGAGTAGTTGAATACCGTATCCAAAAAGGGACAAAGAAGACGTCCAACCTCGTCGACCTTATGCCAGAGTCAAAGCACACCTAATCGTAAGGTGTATTCTCAGTGATGACAGTGGGACATCTACAACCTGGATGCGAAAGAAACAGGAATGTGAAGAATTGTCTACAGATCACCGAGTGGCCATAAGGTCACTAACAACATCCATTCAAAGCTCAGCTCCATTAACAAACCCTCGAAGAATGGTAAGTCATTTCTACTCGTCAATAGCTGATGACAATTTTCACAGGCAGAATTATACACCCTCGGTTTCCAATTTTGTTTTCGTCCGCATAACATTCATCAATCGCCTACCGACTTCGATTGACAACTTCTTATGTTTAGGAATCAAACAACAACTTCACGTATTATCGGTGGCCACATAAAATGATGCCTAAATTTGAAGGATCTCTTTGATGACCTTGGATATGAGTATTGGAAAAAGACTAGATTTTGAATATGTAGCGGTGAAGATGTTGCTCTGAAGATAAGCCTGTGGTCTGCAGTCATCAATAAGCCCCCCCCCCCTGACAACCGAGAATCGTTTTTTGCAATTGGGATCAAATCCTGTGCCCGAGAATGAACATATTTTTCATTGAAGAAGATTGTAGCGAATGAGACTGATGCCTTGTGGATGACCGGCAGTCAACACCGAGAAAGAAAACATTGGTAAAGTATTGAAATTACTGTGATGATTCCTTTCATAATGTGGATTTAGTCCACACCAAACGAATCCTAGAACCTAAGTTGGGGTTGAAATTAATTACTGTACTTCAGAAACTATAGACATCAAGAGACTCAAATGAAGCAATTCCGATTCAGCGGCGCAGGCCATAGGTCAGGGCATACTGATGCCTAGGAAATGTGATGAGATAAGATGAGATCCAAAGCACAGATATATCAATTTGGTACAGATACTTGTTCAAATCATGTAGTGAGATACGAAACAAGACCATATTGTGGTTGGGAATTTGACGGTTGAATGTAATAAGCTCGTGATAATTGTCCCTGGATCTCACTCAGATAACCACATGTATGACGGCGAATTTGATTTGAGATATGCAAGATATTGACTTATAGGTCATACTAATGATCCTGACGATTTGGAATTGTTCCGACTAGTCGAATGAGAACAAGAAGGAAATTAAACGCATTGTATTGATCGCTTGTCAAGACAAGTGAAGGGAATACCGGTACAATTTGCAAGGGCGTTGGGAGAAGAATGCTAAATTCAATATCTTATGGCAGCACATGGCTTCAATCGGGCAGAACTGAGATGAATCTATTCTGAGTGAGGTGTGTACTAGAAGTGATTTGAAGCCCTCCCAAGAATGGTTATTTGCATCTAGAGAGGCGTGGTGTTTATTACGGAACGGTGCGAACAAATAAATCCATGGTAACATTGACCTAATCTTCTAACCTACCCCGCTTTACCAACATTCATGATTGGGATAAATTCTTGGTTTCCCTTGAGTTTCGAGACACTTCCGTTTGTGTGTATTGTACACGAAGCTATACGGCAAAGTATTGGAAATATAATGGCATGTTCATGTAGTGATACAACAGCAGGTGTGCATTGAGGGGGAGTTTTCCTCAAGATGGACAATACTAACAAAAAATGGCTTTTGGGCTTTTGAAAGGAAGTTTCATTCAGCCGTTTTGTTTTCTTAATAAGATGTTATCAGCAGTGAGACTTGTGGACCAGGATCTCTAACGACCATGCCGCAACATGTGTAGAACCAGGTACGCACAAGATCTATTTGATGTATAGCTGTGGGTAGCTGTAGCTGATCGAGGGACTAGGATGAGAAATCTAAATCGAAAACTTCATTCCGACCAGTACATGAATACTTTCCATCTTCATTGTCTTACCTAGATAGTTGACAGTGTGGTGCCATTTGATTATGTCGGTTGAGTTTGATGTGGTTGGTGAGGCAAAAAGTATGTTTCCTTCGGTGGTAAATGTATTGTATAGCTACAACATAACCACAACATGGCTACAACATGACCACAATATGGTTATTCTCCATTTAGAAATTCCGACTGAATGGCTGACCCAGTTGGAGACCCAAAAAATTGATTCAAAATTGATGAATATTATGCATCTATAAGGTAATAACGTAGCTCATTAGCATATAGGCTATATCACCATATAGACTACTTCAAAAATCCATTAAAATCGAGCTTTTCTTAATATTTATATTTAATAATTAGTTATTATTTTTGAAAGGAAAAATCATAAAAAATCATAACAAAAATGAAATACTTATAATATTTAGGCTTTTTTCTAAATAATTTATTTTAATTTGAAATTGTTATATTTTATATAGAAATTTTCCAAACAATTTTATCAATTAATAAAGAAAGTACACAATTATATATAGACAAGGGACACCGAGGGGGGTAGGTTTTTATATCTTTTTCCTATCTACTTCATTCAATTAGACACAGATACAGGCGCATCGCATGGTCTTAGCATAGCTATATAGATCGAATCGATTATGAATTTACTACTACTACTAATAATATATAGACGAATTTTATATATAAAATGAAGTGGCCTATATGATGATATAGCTCACATGTTGATGAACCACGTTATTTGATTTTATATATACTACCCACCAAAAATCCAGACTATTATTAGAATCCTTCACATACTTGATATCCAGTCTCGGCCAGCAACCAACGAAAGACAACAAAAGTAATAACTCACCACGCGACTTCGATCAATTTGCAAATTTTCCCTGTAAATTTCACCAGCTTTCGGTTTCTTGGCCCCTCCCGAGGTCCTTATATGTTCTTCCTGTCATCTTGATACAACGAAATGAATCAACATATACATTGGCTTAGAGAGTTTGATACCTACCTAGGTACCCTTGGCTGAATTTGGAGATTTAAGACGAAAACTCCAAAGTAGTTCTTGAGAATACTTCCGTGTCATTCTTATTGGCTCATCTATGAATTATAGGTGATCACGATTATCCAAACCCAATATAGATATGATTACATTCCCAAGAGGTGAAAGGGGAAGAAAGGTTCGGCATCTGCAACATCAAAAAGAGAAGTTCGAGGAAGGGAAGGTATTAGGAGACAAACCACCAACAAAGTAAAGGCAATTCAAATCGACCATTGAGTTCTCTACCTTTCTATTCTGCTATATTTCTACTTTGCTACCCTTCTATCAAGTTTCACCAGCTCTGAAATCAAATCATCCCCACCTTATCCAACCCCTCCTTATGAAGTTGTTCATTTTACCTTTTACTGCGCCACGTTAAAATACTACTGTCACTGTTCCCTCTATACCTTACCCATGAACACCTACGATCAATAGTAACTCCACCTTTGATTGCCCAAAAAGAGATAGCAGCCGCGTGCGTTTTCTTGGCTAAACTTTGGAAAGCAGATAGTTACGTTGTTTTCTGTTTTGCGATTTAATCCGATTTTAATCTGAATGGATTAATCCGCGATAAACCTCACACGACTTCAGACGAAGCTTCCCCCAAAGCTCCCCTAGAGTTCGCTCAGATCGTCAAGGATCACTACACAAAATGGCAGTTTCAACTTCTTCACCACGATTGCACTTCGAACCTGATAGTGTACCGTTACCTACTTCATCTGATAATGCAGAACCAGCTTCTCCTGCGTTATCGTCTTCGACAGCTCTCGCACGTTTCGAATTCGAATCCGGCCGAGGAAATGAAGGAACAAAAATATTAATGGTAGAATGGGAAGATGAATCTACCGAAGGATCCATCAAAAATATGGGAGATTGGGAGGTATCATGGGAAGGAAAAAGTACTGTTCTATCCGCACGAGATGGAGCAGAAGGGAGACTTCATCGACTTTACTTTCTACTGGCTCCGGGAGCTAGTATACCAAGAATCATAAAGTTATCACAAGTGGGAGGGAAGACAATTCAAACAAACCCATTACCCGCGATATTCCCACCCGAATTAGGTTTGACTGCACGACAAGCTGGACGAAAAGGTGTTTTACATACAATTTGGGCGAAGAAGAGAATATCCGTTTTACAAAGGGAAATTGATGAGGAAATGAAAACAAATGGAGAGGGAATAGGTTTAGAAATGGCCATGCAGGAAAAACAATGGATTGAGGAAAACTTTGGTGTTGGGCCAAGAGTTACACAGCCGGACTTACAACAAAATGCTACTCCAACTAGTCCAAAAACACCCGGTGGTGGTAGGTTATCCGAGAAGCTTAAGGGGTTGAAATTAGGAACTAGTGCCCACGACTTAAGTAACGTTTCAGGTACGTATAAAGTCAAATGTCCAAGAATGAAAATGATGAGATTGACAAGTTCTAGAACTCAAATTCGAAAGTCAGCAAAACCCGTTATCTCCTGAACAGGGTGATGTCGCTGTATCGTCATTCTCCTTGTTTCATGGGGGAACTTCACGCCATCAAGCACCACGTCTTGTCGCTCAACATCCACCCAATCATTCCTCACAATATGGCATGAGTTCTCTAAACGCTCTTGCAATCGGTGATGTGTCACGAAAAACATCACAAGAAGATCAAACAGAAGATGAATTATTTGCCATCAGAATGAGTCCAAGAAGTCCGGAGATGACAAAGAGTCCTTTTAGTTTCGCAACTAAGGATGTAGCTTTGAGTTTGGCTCAAAAGAATTAGGAAACTCGATCGCTATATCTTTGGGAGAAAATCCAGAAATTTATATACGATGACATGATTGATGAAACAAACAAAAGAATTGAATGAATTGAACTGACAAAGTCCACACAATATTGGGAGGTTAGATTTTTAAAAGCTACGAAAACACCCGCTTTATACCCATTACTTTGATCGTCAAAAACTTGGTATTGGATAAGGTCTTAGCACCCTATTTTAGATAGTTATTTTGATACCTATTTTTTATTCCTCAGACTGAATTACTTGGAGACTTTTGGATACAGGTCTTTTGCCGTGTCAAGGTTCCCATCTATCTAATTCACTGCCGGACCGAAACACGACTCCGGACTCCGGAGTCACTTTAATCGTCCCAGTCGTCTTTGTGAATTCCTTTTTTGGCTTGTATAGCATTCCCCACGCGTGGAAATGTCCCGTCCCGCTCCTCGTGGCACCTCGCGACCATCACTTATAACAAAGTGCGCAACTATCTGTTGACAACTTGGCAACAACCTCCAACTGACCATTTCGGATGTGTTCAAAATTTGAATGGCCTCTCAAACTACTTAGGTACTGGCACTCTTCGTTTGTTAAGTGAATAATAACCTTATGGCTCGTGCCCACTACTTAGATAAAACGTAGGTTGGGGCACCTTTACCCGATCCGACGAATGATCTTGATGTCCCATTGCCCCTCGTTCAACAAGACCTGCCACTGTGATGCGACGACTTATTATAAGAGTAAACCTTGTTTCTGATCTACATATAACCAAGGTCTCGCAACCGTGTCTCGTTTCCAACAACAGCTGCGATTTTTTTGAGTAATATTCCAGACTTCCATGTGATAGCTTCATGAATCCGTCTTGCATTTGCTGTTTAACGATCCTTCCCAACCAACCTAAGTGGCTGCTGCATTAACGACTAGTTGAACGGATACTCTTCTTTTATACGATTGGGAGTTGTCAACTTACAACGCCCGGATGAACTTTCATCAATGGGAAAAGATCTGACAAAGTGTGGGTAACAAATAATCCATGATATCGTTAATGTGGTCGTCGTATTTCATCTGAGGACCGCTCACGTTTGTCATGTTATTCACTGTGGTCGGTAATCTTCAACTATTTTGTTGATAGTTCCATCCTCAATTGTTAGTTATTTCGTTATTGCTGTCAATCTCGAATGTGGACGGGGAGCTAGTTTGTTTCCTCGTTTATCGAACAAAGGGATAGAATTTCTCCGAGATCTATTTATGTCAACATCTTAACTATTAACATAAGATTTACACCTCTTTACTTCACACCTCTGACATCTGTCACCATGTCTACCAACACCACAATACCACTGGCGCCCCTGACGTCTACACCACTCTCATCGGTAGGAAATTTCTTCAAAACCACCATGTTCTTCATCATTTCTACATATCTCCTCATAGTCCACTTCCTTCGCCTTTCGAGGCAAGACTCCATGATTAAAAAATTCGGGTATAAAACCAGAGAATCATTGAAAAATATGACAAACACGGATGCGCAAGCAATTATCAGTCACATAGGCGAATTAGAATTCCCCCGTTTCTACGTTACCAGTCTTCAATTCGCCCTCTTTAAAACCTACGGTATCCCCACAATCTCCAAACTCCTCGTCGACACAAAACAATTCAGTTCCAAGGAAACAGCGAGCAAACGTTACGCGGATACAACAGTATTGATTGGAGAATTCTCTTCTCATCATCCTCTTCACCCGAGAGTTTTAAAAGCGATTTCGAGAATGAATTATTTGCATTCGGGATATCAAAAAGCGGGGAAAATTTCTAATGATGATTTGCTTTATACATTGAGCGTCTTCATTACAGAACCAATTGGTTGGATTGGGGATTGGGAGTGGAGAACACTGAACGAAATGGAGATTTGTGCAATTTCTACGTTCTGGAAAGGGATTGGTGATGCGATGGGTATTTCTTATCATGATCTTCGTCGTTTCAATGAATGGAGTGATGGAATTGAATTTTTCGAAGATATCAAGAAGTGGGCAGAGGATTATGAGAGGAAGTTCATGGTTCCGAACGAGTATAATAAGAAAACGGCGGATGAGTTGGTTCCACTTCTTTTGTTTCTGGTTCCAAAGGCACTATTGCCCTTTGCGAGAGATGCAGTAGGGGTTCTTATGGGCCCCCTTCTTCGCTCCGCAATGATATATCCGGAACCATCACGCCTCAATAGATTGCTCACTGTATCTATACTACGCACTCGTCAAGTATTTCTCCGCTACCTATCACTCCCAAGACCAGAATGGATGAGAGTCAGACAAATCTCGAAGTCGGATGATAAAGGGGTAGATGGAAGGTATCACAGTACCGATTATCTCGTGCATCCATACTATCAACTCCCAGGTTTCTGGAATCGTTGGGGGCCGATAGCTTTGCTTACAAGAGTGATGGGTGGGTTTGTACCGGATGAGAAGAGGAGCGATTGGTTTACAGAGGGATATAGATTTGAGGAGGTGGGGCCGGATAGGAGGAGAGGAGAGGGTGGGAATGAGATGAGAAGCATGGAAGAGAAATTGGAGAAGGAGAGAACTCCAGGGTGCCCTTTTGCTTTTGGAAAGTGAACTATGTGGATTGGGCGTATTATGAGCGAGTGTCTTGTGAGTTTCGGACATAGAATCCTGGGAGGGGAGGATTGATAGCCTCGCTCGAGAATATTCAAGATGTGTGTGATAGGAAATTGAGATCACATACGGAATTGGAGAAAAGAAAAGAACGGAAGCAGGCGGATTGAATAAACAATCTTGTTACTATATCGCTTGTGAATATAACCATTGTACCGTCGTCATATCACTGCACCCAAGAAGAATTCCATAACCAAATCACGAGAAAATGCACAAAATCACCACGAAAAGTTGCAATCAATTTTTTTTTTCTGGATTGCTTGTTGCTATGTAAAACAAATGGGTTTCTTGAGATTGAACCAGAAACTCCAAAAGATATGGGTATCCTAAAATCATAATCTCCATATAAATACTTGGGTATCTCAATTTCAAACCATACCAGAATCATATTATCCTCCATGCCATATTGATATCTCTTAGTACCCTCTCATGCAAAATCTACCTAAACTCCGTAACATGCCATGCTAGACAATGCCAAACCCAAAACCTTTGCCAATCATACAATCCCACCCAGATCGAATGCCCTAGCCATAATGCTGTTCCCAAGAAACCTCGATGACCCAGATGCTGTAGTACTATACGATCAGATGTGTTTAACGTAGGTACCGCTTGTCGTTGATTATAATAGCCGCAGAGAAGAAAAGACACAGAAGAAAGCCCGAGGACTATTAGGATATACTGTGCCATGAAGAAAAGAACAGTGCCGGAGATGTTGAAAATGAAAAGACAACTTAAAACGTTGACTTGTTCTCATCAAAAGTAAAAAGGTCGTGTTTCCCAAGGAAAAGCGAAGCATCTGTGAGGTCCACATTTTTGACGCACTTCGCGACGAAATCTGGCTTCCATTGATTATTGACTTGGACAGGGAGAGCAAATTCCAACTCGCAGGTCGTCGTCATCTCGGGAGCTTGCAACTTCTTAGCAAGTGCTATCTTGGCAAAGGTTGCACCGCTAGCCCAGAGCTTGTTCTCAGCGTCTTGGATCCTCAGAACCAAGACTTGAGGCATGTCATCACAAACCCTCTCACCATCTCGTTCTCCTTCCTTCAGGACGTATCGGCAAGTTGGTCCATCGGGATCATAGTAATCTTCCCTGTTCATCCATCTATTGATCAGCTCATCTCTCGCGTGATCAATCTGTCTGATGATGTTGGAAGAGTGCACCATGTTGGCATCTTCTTGCAGGAGTGGACGGGGTTCACTGTCGATGAAAGCATCTGGGTCGTTGGTAAAACCTGGATGCTCATTGACATGGTATCCAATCTCTATGCCGGTGGATTTTTGGAAAGCGAGATTTAATCCAGAGACAGCGGGTCTGGCTTGGATGGGAATGCGACTGAATTGATACTTGGATTCAGTGTTCTCAACAACCTTGCCTGATTCCTGGCCTTTGGACATAGAATCGTTGTCTATTTCATTTGATCCCTGAGCTTTAGTTTCAGCAGCATCGCTATTTTTATCCGACTCTCGAGATTCACAGTTGGGCTCGGTGTCGCCGCCATCTTTATCAGAATCAGAATCAGAATCAGAATCAGAGTCATTCTCGGTGTCGCTGCAATCTTCGTCAGATTCGTCGGAATCGGACTCAGTGGCATCACTATCCTCCGGAGCTTCCCATCCAGAATCAGGAGCATTGACGTAGTACTCAGAATCACTGACAATTTCAATGATTGCAAAACGCTCTTCTTCCAATCCCTCTCTGATGGCCTGTGTCAGATTGTTTTCTTCGCGTTCATCAAGTGGCCAGCCCTCCTTGAAGAAGTCTTCTTGAAGCTCGACACCCTCTGGGACTTCATCAAATTCCATATTATTAGGAGAGTCCTCAACTCCGATGAATATCCATGGTTCCCCATCAAGTGTATCGCGAAATTCTTTGTGAGATACCTCGATTGGGAATTCAACCTGTCCAAACACGAAGGCTTCATCGTCACCGAGTCCTTCCATTGTATCTTTGATGACGAAGCCACCGACGTTCTCGACATGATCATCAAGCAATGATCCCCGGTCATCGTACAATTGCCAGTTGCCTTGATGCCTTGAGGCAAGGGAGCCATCCATGAACCCCTCGGGAGCTGGAATTGAAGACGATTGACTTGACTCAGTAGGAGCTGGAGACGGTCCTCTTAATAGTGAAGCACTGTACAGATCACTTTCGTCTTCCTCGTATTGAGCATCAGTGCCTGACGCGGTGTTTGCCTCTAGATTGAAGTTTGACTTCTGCGGTGGCTCAAGACTGGTATCACGAGTAGACAAGTCGCTGTTGCCACCACGGAGAGAATCGAGTATTTCCCTGGAATCTTCACGGTCCAATGTTGGAGCGGGGGTGACTCCTTGCCTAGTCGATGCTTGCGCTTCAAAGACCGATGCAAATCGAGATTTCTTTGGTTGAACAGATATCTCAATCATCTTTAAACCAAAGTGAGCCTGTGGAGCAGGATTTCTGGAAGTCTCCTCCGCAACCGAATCTACGGGGAAGAACTCTGCAAAGCGAGATTTTTTTGGTTGGACAGGGAAATCAACCACCACTAAACCAAAATTGCCAACTGGAGCTGGAGTTTCAGTGGTATCTGGAACTAAATTCTGTGGTACCTCGACCTTAGCGCAATCATCTTTCTTTTGTTCTCCAAACACTTGAGCCCATCGAGATTGCTTTGGTTGGGCTTGTCCATTGATCATCGCGAGACCAAATTGAGCATTGGGAAGTTGTGAAGGTCTCAACTCCACTTGCTGAGCTTCATTACGAGCCAGAACCTCTTGAATGATGACAGAGTTCGCCTTCGCCACCGCAACCTCAGAATCCATAAGGCTCGGCATCTCTCTTTTGGCTGCTTTTGCCGAATTGGCAAACTTCAACGAGGAATTGAGATCAGCGTATCGATTATCATCAGGTTCCACTTGAGAAGCTTCTTGTTCGCGAGCTTCTTGCTCTCGAACTGCTTGCTCTCGAACTTCTTGTTCCCGGCCTTGTAGCACACGGGCTTCTTGATTACGATGCGCTGTCTGCTCAAGAGCATTTACATCAGTCTCAGGCTCATGAGCAGCGTTGTCGTTACTCGGTTCATTGTCAAGTAGCAACTGCTGATCCCGAAGCTGCTTCCATGTAGAGTAGTAGCTATCTAGATCAAAGAAATATAGACGGCCGTCGACTCGACGATGCTTACATTTTTCGGCCTGGCATCCATACCACCCGCAGAAATTGTTAAAGGCGTAAAGTCTATCCTGAGGATTTTCCTCAAGATGGACTGCTGCTTTGAAGTTCATGCCTAGCCAGAATAATCTTGTCTGGTAACGTACCTCCAATTGAACCCAGCGCCTCTGAATTCCATTTAGTTGATGGTATGCATCTGAATTCGTCCATGGTGTTGGGAGCCAAGGGTCGTTACCTCTGAAATCATCTATTCTGGTTGGAATCGGATTTTGGGGACCCCAAGGAAGGGTGAAACCAGGAGCAGGAAAGACTGATCTGAATTGACTGTAGCGTGGAATTCGGTACATGCGTACAATTTCTGCCGCGTGAGTTTCACCGGGTTGGCTGACTTTCCAAGGTACAATAACTTCCTCAACTTGTTCATTGACTACATCAGGACTATCCTCCTCAATAGGGAAAGTGTTTCGAAGTTCTGATAGAAAGATTTCTTGCTTTGCAAATTCCAACGACAACCGCTCCCTAAGCTCCGATGTGAAGACTTCTTGTTCCACTGAGTCTGATTCGTTTGGCGACAGTGGTCCAGATGCAGAGGCCGAAGGTGTTGGACTGTCAACATGAGAGCAAATAATCTCTAGTGTCAGAATTTGAAGAGAAGTATTTTCCGCAGGGACACCAATTGGTGTAGTAACCATCGGAATAGCAGGCTGCGCAAAATGAGAGGGATATATATTGAGTTGAGGCTCAATGTACATGTCTGCGTCATCATGAACAATGTAATTGTTGGGATCATTGAGCATTGCCTCATTCTCCGCATCAGATGGAGTTAAACTGGCACGTCTCCCCGTTGGATAATGAGAGTCTGGCGAAACTAGATTTCCAGGTGCCGAATTGCGTCGTTGACGGACCACATCTTCAGAATTTTCATCCTCACTCAATGCTCGTTCCTCTAGCTGAGGGGCAGTGAAGACCCTATCACAAAAGCTGCGCGCCTTATGTGGAACTGTGGTGGCTGTAGCGAATGGACCATTCAAATGATACCCACCAATATGGTCTGGGAACGTGACATGATTTTCCTCTGAGATTAAGACAATTTCCTCATTCGAAGTGATCGATTCATCCTGGATGGCAGAACTCCCGATGCTATTGATGGATCTCTTAGATGATTGAATTGCAGCATCAACACTTGGTGAAACTTCGGCTGAGGGGATTTGGGTCGAATCAGGAGTCAAGGTATCGCTTCCGATTGGTTCGGTTACTTCTGGTTCGTATACTACCATCTGTAAATTATTTGGTGTAGCCAATGGTGCGAAGGCCGGTTGAAAAATTTCCGGAACATCGATAGATAATTCAGTTGCTACCACGGCCAAAATATTATCCTCCATGTTTTCATGGAAGATGGTAGCAGCAAGCTCTGCGTCATCTGTTCCCTTAATCAGAGTCTCAGCTGTTGGATCTGTATTGGGAAATTGAACGTCAGTATTTGTCTTCTCATAAGGGTTGTAGATTCTGAGTGGCTTACCTTGGCTGTCAACAAAATCATGATTGACAAAGATAGCAGGACCAGCGGCTTCTGATACCTCAACTGATTGATCGTTGATATTGTTTAAGTCGCCGTCAAGAACCGACTTGATTGAAGGAGCGGGTGGTTTTAATGGAAGCGCAGCAATATCTGCGACTTCTACGTCCTCAATGGACTGGTTACCACCAACAACTGCCGTCAACACTGGCAAGACATTTTGTGCAAATGCAAGACCTGTAAGTCCATCGTCAATGGGATAGCTATTCGCATTATCTGCGCCAGCATGGTCTGGGACTTGCTCAAATGTCTCGACTGTGTGATTTTCTGTCGAGGAAAGATTTGAAGAACCGACCAGTGTTTCTGATTCGGGTGCCGATTCTGGTGAGCTAATGTTAGTATCTGGCATCATAGATGCTTGAATTTCAGGGATTTGCTTACTAGTGGAATGTCTTCTGGATCTGCTACCGGTCAAGAAGTCAATGAGATCCTTGACTCTATACTTAGTGAAACTGGTAGTCTTGCTAGGATATCGGCTTAGGGTGAGCTTCCTAGACTTCCTAGTGTTTTGCTGGTTTGTGACCTTCTTGTCCTTGATGGAGAAAACGCGAGCGACTGAGCGGAAGACCTTTCTGAAATCCATTGTTGTGGTAAGCACAATGTGCAAAGTTGGATTGATGTGTAGTAAAGTGGTGGATATTCCGTGCGAAAGTATGTGATAGAAAGATACCGACAAGTAGATGTTACTGGTTGGCAGAAGATGATTAAGTAGTAAATTATAAGTCGATGATTGAGACAAGATACTATCTGTATTGGGAGATATAAACTGCGTGAAAGTAGCAGTTGCAATTGCTTTGTGATTACCTGGATTTCGTAAAGTACTGTGTCAAGACAAAGTTAAAGGAAATTAGGATGAAGCAGAAGAATACTTAAGTAGTAGGATCGAGCAGCCGTTCCAAGTCTCCAAAGACACTAATATGTATAGGTTTGATACAATACCCTACTGAGTGTTTATGATTGAATACATGACTTGGTTGAATGGCGCAAATGGTTGCCACAAAAGAAATGCTGCTGTAGCTATTCTATGGAAACCAAAGATGTTCGGTACGGTCCTCGTAATACAGCATTGGTTCAGCCAGTTGATCGATGGCACATGGACATGAGGCCGATGGTATATACACGTTGTCTATATCTAGTCCGGCTCTATGATTACCGGGTACGATGAATCTCACAAGTTTTGAGGAATTGTCAGCCCTTTCTAATTTCATGTTGAACACTACCGTTCCATGTTTGAACTTCACCTCTTCCCCATGACATTAAGGTGAAATAATACGTAGTGTACAGCATGAATTATTACACGTGACTTCAAGCTAGCCATACAGTTGTATTCTAGATTGGCTTTGGAGTTCAGGATGGCTGTTGTATAGATTGGTTGACTTGAACTAAAAAATTCTCAACGGCTCAGCTACTCAGAATGTGCTCCTCCTCGTCCTACGCATCTGAATTCTGTTTCCTTCCGTCAACTAGCTAGCATCTACTGATAATCCCACAACGCAAGCCGCTTCAAGATAAGCAGTACAGTCAGTCATTTTAATTCTCACCGAGAAACGACAACCGAATAACCGACCCGTTCTTCAAGGTGTGTTTGCTCTTCAGGCAGGTGAAGCTAACTTTCGTGACAGTGAACTATCATCTTGACGTGTTCCTGCAATATGAATCACCCTCTGAGTGATGTTTGTCCATTTCCTTATCGAAACTCTCTCAATCATATTTACAATTTTTGTTAACACTATTTGGCGAGCCTGGGGAAACTTTTACTGACGATACATATCGATTCGAAGAACCTTCGCAATGCTCAGAGTCGACCAAAAAAGCCCTGGCAGCCATACCGACAATGCGGAGCAAAGCAAACGCATGGTATTCTCGCCCTCATGCGCGGACTTTTTGGATGCTGTCGACGATTTTAACGATGCATTGTTGGATAGACAGAGCGGGTCTCAGGGGAACTTTCCAGTTAGATGCGCCCGATATGAAAGATGAATGGATGGGGAATCTTTATATCATCATCCGCAGATGAGGAAGCACCTTAAGAATAAGTGAAGAGCACATCTTATCACACACACTGCGCATTGTAAAGGCCAACTCTTTATTGTATAATGCTGTTCGACCAACAATGGTGACAAGTAGCTATGAAAGCTCAAACTATTTAACGGAGCCTAGGTCCCCCTGCATGCTGTGTAACAAAGAGTTGATGCGCTACGTCCTTTACCGTTGTTCTGCTTCACTTTATCATGCCAAACTATCAGTATCGAAAGTATCATGAACGGAATGGAAAAAAAGTCGAAGGACAAGGATCCAATACATCCATCATGTTTCATGAATATCCATGGTTCAGCAGAAAATTTGGATTTTTCTTCTACTCAATAATGTGAAAGAAAAGAAAAGACATAGGAACTTAGTAGCCATGATCTAGAAGTCTCGATCATTTGAAGCTGTCCTGAGGTAGGCACATCATTGCAAAAGGCTACATTTCCAGAGCTCAAATCTGAGCTACCATGAAGCTCTCTGCAGGCTGCCAGCATAGCAAAGGGAAAAAAATGAGCCGTAAAAGAGAAATTTATGTACACTTCTTCTAGAAGAATACTTCTCTTCATCATTGTGAGATCTCGAGTTTCAGGTGAAGAGCAAGTTGCTTAACTTTTATGGCATTTTGAAAGAATACAACTGGTAAATGTCATGAATTTGGAAGAAGTTATGGTACAAACGATGTCCTAGAAGATTCTCCATATAGCTCGCTCCGTGACCATTCGCTTTGCTTGCTTAAATGCATTATCTCGAAGCATGGTAGTAATGGAGAAGTGAAAACAGGAGGAGGTTTGGGAAGGAAGTGAATTCCAAAATTCATCGACGGTTTTCAGATAGATGACTATACGGATCGCAGACGAGAACATGATTAGTTCGATTGAATAACATTAGCCACTAGTGTTAAGTTAAACATTGCCAGCGAGTGACTTTTGGCGAGTGAAGCATGTGGTCGTGGTGGTGAGATGAGAATGAGGTTGTCCGCAGCTCCCTAGTTTATCGTGCACGGTCCTTCCTCAATATCACAGCAAGCTCGAAGCTCCCAAATCCCTAGCACAAAGAGCAACTTACAACAATCCAAGGAACTCCACGACGACGAAGTAATACATTCGAGTTATTTAGTTGGAGCGCAACTGGGTTTCTCTTGATCCCATTCTCTCCAATACTACCTACCACTTCTATCGAGTAGCAATCCCTCGGAAGTTCCAACCATGTCTGTTCCTACGAAATACATATTGGTATCTTTACCAACATCCATCTCTCAATCCAGCGATAGAGAAGAAGCTTTAACAGCTCTTCGGTCTACAATCTCCGCCGATAATGGAACTACGATACCATTCAAGATCCCCGAATTCAAAATCGGTACACTAGATGCATTGGTTGGGCAAGCAGATGATCTTGCGAAGTTGGAAAGCGCTTGTCAAGGTGTTGTAGCAAAAGTTGGAGAATCTCTCCGCACTTTATTGGAGGGAGATGAGAGCAAGATTGCACAACAGAAGACTGTGAATGACAGTGAGTCTAGTGATCTACAAGCTTGTGATTACCAACACAAGCTAATAGTTTGATTATAGAACCCGCGGATCAATACCTACGTACTTTCTCATGGAACAAAGTCAAATATCGTGCCGACAAACCACTCGCAGAGTTGATCGATTCGTTACAAAAGGTTGGTATTGTTTTACAGGAAGGTTTAAGGCATTGCTGATGAGATATAGGAACTTGTTAGTATCGATAATGACGTTAAGGGTAAAATGAATCAATATAACCAAGTCAAGACGAATCTCACAACATTACAACGGAAACAAACGTAAGAGCTAAAATTTTGGAAATACAGCAAAAGGCTAACCATGCGAAGAGGAAATCTTTCTACGAAATCCCTTACTCCAGTTGTCGATCCCAAATTACTGGTACAAGATTCTGAATACCTCGAAACTCACCTTGTCGTTGTTCCAACGAATGTCAAGAAGGACTTTCTGAAGACTTACGAAACCATATCGCCTATGGTTGTTCCAAGATCCTCCGTGGAAGTTACCCATGATGAAGAGTTCACATTATTTGCGGTCACAACATTCAAAAAGCACAGCGCAGATTTCCAACACAAATGTAGAGAAAATAAATGGACACCTCGTGATTATAAATATGTAGAGGGTGGAAAGGAGGTGGAAAGAAAGGAGGCCGAGAAAGTAGAGAAGGATGAGCGCAAGGTATGGGGTGAAGCTCTAAGACTTGGTAGAACTGGTTGGAGTGAAGCTGTTATGATATGGATACATGTTTTAACTTTGAGGGTATTCGTCGAGACAGTCCTGAGATATGGATTACCTCTGGATTTCGTCTGTGGATTGGTTAAGGTATGCGCATTGAGTCCAAGTTCTGCCAAAGTTTTACTAATTCTTTCCAGTCAAACCCCAAAGGAGCCAAGAAAGCGAAAGCGGCACTTGATTCGACATATGGTTACCTCGGAGGTAATGCCTTCGGCCGTGACAAGAAAGGAAAGGCTTTGAAAGATGATTCGGCATTATCGTCCGAAATAGCTGCAGCGGGAGTTGGTGGAGGAGAAGGCAACGAGTACACGGCCTATGTCTATTACGAATTCGAAATCATATAGATAGTATTGGAGGGATTATAAGAATATGGCGATTGAAAGTTGGCGCATGGCAATGGGGACATATTTGTTGAAGCATGCATTTGTATTATTGTATCGTAGTAAGAGATATCAACGACGCAATCGTTTTCAGATCGATCAATGTTTGATTTATTGAATTCTATAATATCTAGCATTTTTGATGAAATAATCCTTTTTAATCGCTCAAAATGTCTAGCCCAAGGTATCTAAATCTAAAAGTTCAACAACTTCTCCTTCTCCAAATACTCTACAATCTTCTGCACACACTCCTCCACACTCAGCTTATCCGTCCTCAAATGAATCTCTGCCTTCTCGGGCTCCTCATATGGCGCACTGATACCAGTGAAATCCTTAATCTCACCCGCTCTAGCCTTTTTATACAATCCCTTTGGATCTCTCTTCTCTGCCTCCTCAACAGGGATATCGATGAAAACCTCAATAAAGGGAATAGCATCATCCCCGTTCGCGGCCTTCTCATGTAATTCCCTCGCAACAGCTCGGTCTGCCTTGTAGGGAGAGATAAACGATGTTAAAGCGATGGTACAACTATCTGCGAACAACTTTGCGACTTCGGCAATACGACGAATGTTCTCGTTGCGGGACTTCTCGTCGAATCCGAGATCTTTGTTGAGTCCAAAGCGGACATTGTCGCCGTCGAGACGATATGCGGCATGGCCGAGATGGAGAAAATGTTGTTCGAGAGCTGTGGCAATGGTGGATTTTCCAGAGGCAGAAAGTCCGGTAAACCAGATTGTGAAGCCGCGTTGTTTGCGGAGGGTGGTGCGCTCAGCGCGGGTGAGGGAGGGGTGCCAAGTGATATTTCTGAGGGAGGTTAGTATCATTTATCTTGGTTATTTTGCTTCCTATTGAAGTTCAGGGCAAAGACGTAATTAAGAGATTAAACGCAAAAAGGGAGAACGTACGTAGACATTCTGAAG